CCTTCTCGTTGAGAACCCGGACAGCCTCTATTAACTTTCGTGCCCGCTCGGCTGACAGCTATTTAGTGTGAACCCCCAGGGAGTTAGGTCGATCTGGTTGGATCAATCTAATCTCTGGGAATGGGGTCATAGAGAAGAACAAAATTGTGTTCATCAGAGGCAACAATTAAAAGGGAATTGAGTTATGATAGTTAAAAGCAACTTTTAATCATGATTCCATCATCATACTGCTTTGACTTAAGTCATCTGGTATAATAATATTTCAAACTAGAAAAGCAGTCAGAAAGTGCAATACTCTGCAATGCCAGCTCAGTAACCATACCAGTTGTTACTGTTTGACTAATCAAAGAGATGTATATACAGGCCCGTAGCCAGGGGGGGTTCGGGGGGTTCGAAAGAACCGCCCCTTTTGCTGGGAAAAGGTCCACTCTGGGTAAAATTTGATCTAGGTACATGAAGTTTTTATGGGAAAAGGTCCACTTTTTCAGAAAAAGAACCCCCCTTTTGAAATTGCTGGCTACAGGCCAGATATACATCTGTTTGGAGTAATAGGGGCCATTCAGAACGGATGATCTGAGTACTAACTGATCTGCCGTACTGCTGTACTCTCTCTCTCTGGCTCTGTTTCTCTCTCTTCTCTCTCTCTGGCTCTGTTTCTCTCTCTTCACAGTTTCTCTCTCTCTCTCTCTCTCCCACACACACACACATACACACACCCTCTCAAAATCCTTACGTACATTTTTGCAAAATGAGCTGACAAACAAATTTATTTTATTTATTAACTAATTATTAAGAAATGGATCACAACCTTTACTGAAATCCAGTTTTTTTGTTTCTACAAATGTCAAATTAGTTCTTAATTTTCATTACTAAATATCAATTGCATGTCAAGTAATAAATTTGCAAAAAATCATTATTCACATTTTACTCCATTTGTCTGTCTTCCACTATAAACTGTAAAATGTTTAAATTGTTGTAATTCACACCTGGTGCATTTCTACAATCCCTCTTCTCTCCCGGTTCAAAGAGTGTAATTTCAATATTTCAAGTTGTTATCAACTGAACACAACAGTCCAAATAACACTGACAACGTTCTGTATCAGTTAACCATAAGGAATGCTGAGCTGTAGTCAACAAATGAAATTCTAGCATCATCATATAATAATAATAATAATAATAATAATAATAATAATAATAAATCAATATATACTTGAACGAATCAAATGTCAAAACATGGAAAATTTAGTGGTTAAAAAAGGCTTACATATCCCTCTGCTCTCACTGGTTTTTATATGCACAGGTAATTACTAAGATATCATATACAAACTTAGCACTGCTACAAAATCTATGAATATGTAAATATGACACTGACAGTGACCTCTGTATTGTGATCAACTGATGGGGGACAGCGCGCTGTGCCGAGGGTTCGCTGTGCCGACAAATCCGGAAAATTGGTCTAAAATCGGCTAAGTTTTTAACTGATGACCCTATCACTAATGGTCAGTTTACCTGAGTGTCCCTAGTGCTACCTTCGTGACTTTTTGACCACTGTCCACTACGAGTGACCCACTCATTGTTCTCAAGTAGTGCCTTTGGTTGCCGTGTAAAAATAGTGCTGCAAGCACATAGCTTTTCTTCTTTATTTACGCCCTGGAGCTGAGGGAAAGTTTACAATGTTAGTCCATCACACACTCTCCCCGCTGATTGGAAAATATGTGTGACGTGGGTGGGGGATTAACCCTCTCTTAACCCACCCCGGCTCCTATGTCTACGTATCGTTCTCATGCTGCCACAACGCGCTGGATTCTCCGCGTTTCGCGGGAGCTGAAGAGTTAACGCGGTCAGCGCCATTTTAGGGAGAGGCAGATGAAATAGAAAGGTCTCATAATATTTGCAAAGTTCTACACTGTGAAATAAAATTATTGGGGTTTGCTTTTCAACTTTCTAAAACTTTGCAATATACCTTTGCTTTCAGTAATTCCATCTACGTCAAATATTTTTTGGTAATTTGATAACTTTTTCTCGACGGCTTCTCCCCTAAAATGTTCCACACTAGAAAAGATCGATAATCGTATGGGAGAATTACACAGGCAATTGACCTACTTCACTAGGGCGGCAATCATCGCTATTTTACCACTTTTATGACCTGGGAAAGATTACGTCATATACACTTGGGATATAATAGTTATTTATGATTGTTTAACTAATAAATTGCGCATATTGATAAAATATTTTTAAGTGTATGAGTAAAAAAGGACTATTTATATTTGAAAATAATGAAAAAATGTGTAAAGAACCCAAAACAAATAAAGAACTGCATTTTTCTCTTATATGCAAATTAGATTGTCTTTAGTAATATAGCTGAAAGGAAGTGATGCTCAAACCAGAGATTCCAAAGGTGGCGATCTTAACTAATCTTTATTTCGATACTAAATCATTCGATAATATCTTTATCAATAAAAAATATAATTGAAGCTACCAAATTCAATTTTCCTTTTTTTTCTTATTTAACACCAACCAATGCTCGACTCGTTCCTGGGATGAAATTAGTAACAGCCAGAAGGTCCTGAGAGTTCTCCCTCCTCCCTCTACTCCAATGTGTTCTACATGTATGTCCTATCCAGTGGGCAGACAACGTGTGCCCTCTACACAATGTTAGATTATTTATATATCAAGCCCGTAGCCAGGGGGGGTTCGGGGGCTTCGAAAGAACCGCCTTTTTGTCAGAAAAAGGTTCATTCTGGGTACAATTTGATCTAGGTACACAAAGGTTTCATTGTAAAAGGTCTACTTTTTCAGAAAAAGAACCCCCCTTTTGAATTTGCTGGCTACGGGCCTGTATATATATATATATATTCTGCATCCATTTTCCTTTTTATGAATTAACGATTTCTATTATTGAGATGCTTATAAAAAGTAATTGCTATATATCTTTATTGAGGGACTGATAAGTAGGCCTACAGTGTACGCGGGGTGGGGGGCGGGGGCGGAAACAGTAAGGGGGAGGGGGGAAACAGTAGAGGTGGGTCACATTTATTGTCTACTACATGTACAAGGCTAGGGATGGGCCCCAAAAACTGAGCCATGCATTTAGGGTGGGCAACAAGCTAACTACTAATTATAAGCTTCATTTTTGGCACCAACTATGTGCAATTTTTGAGAACAACTATACTACAGTACACTTGAAGTAAAACAATCTGATAGAAATCTGTGTTCTGTGTCTGGTTCTTCTTTTTTACATCTGGTTCTTCTTTTTTACAAGCATTTTTAGAACAAACAACAAAAGTTTCTTGTAGCTATTAAAGAATAGTTATAAAAGCGGGGGGCGGATCCAGGATGAATTAAAGGGGGGGGGGGCTCCAGTTCTGGGATTGACAGGCCGCGGATGCGAAGCAAAGCCTCTCCCCCCCCCCTTCCACCCTCATTGCCGTGGGGTTGGGAGCCCACTGAAGGGCCCCGAAATATTTTGCTATTTTAGAGTGCGAACGGTGCCATTTGGTACGGTTTAGAACTATAATTCAGCTGGTTCAAATTCTAATTCCAAGAGGGGACAATTGGTGTTATCTTTTTTTATATTTTTAGTAATTCATTTAGAAACATCTCCATAACTGCCGTACCATAAAGTATTCTACCCAGGAAACTCCCTTGTGCAAAGAATACGTTTCTAAAGACAGGATTAATACACATTTTTTCCCAAAGAGTTATCTGTTTAACAGATTTTGCATCTGTTGGGTATCAAACACGGACTGCCCGCGTGGCAGGCGAGCATTATTCCAATGAAGCTCGCGTGCTTCTAAGACGTAAGTTTNGACTCTACTGCCTTTTTATTGACATGAAATACCTAAAGGCTTTTCATCTATATTATGTTTGCTCACACTTAAAAAAAGACAACCTAGTTTTGGAGGACACCTAAAATAATCTTAGATCAACAAAGGCAAAATTCTAAAGGTTCTTAGTTCTATTGAATACTTATTGTTCTGGCATGGGTACCATAAATGAACCATATTCATACTACCTTCTACTGTAAGTCGATGGAAAAGCAAGTCTGATTATAATCATGGTCATCTCCTTAACTTTCAATCTGTGCTAATATTGGTAGTTTTTAAAGGCGTGACACATGATCCAAAGCAATTGAATGGTAGGATTGGTGTAATCTTGTGATAATACCTTTTTCTTCTTGTACATATCCTTTTATCCTGGATCATTTCACGCATGCGTATACACAAGGGGGGAGCCATTTTGTGTGTATACACAAGGAGGGGGCCATTTTGTAATTCAATCTGGATTTTGATCAGTGTGGAGTATGTGATTACGTTTGAATCAAGGTATTTTTTATCCACTTTTTTGTTCAAAAAAGTGCATAAAACCATTAATGTTGTAGTTTTTAAGACTTCATCCACTTTATATTTATCGTCTTATTCCTGTTCAATCATCTGCCATTGAAAAGGTGCTTGTATAAGGCTACTAGGTTAAATAGTACTATAGCACTATAGGAAAATAACAAACTAGATAAAACTTCAATCAGTTGAGTCTAGTTTAGAACTATCAGTAAGAATAGCATCAATCTTTTGGACATACAATGTATGGCCTACTTTGTCCCATGATAACACATGATCTGTTTGACAGAACTTAGGTTGCCTTTTCTTCGTAACAAGAATGTGTATATACTATACAGTATAATACTGACTATTATCAGAATATTTTATGATCTTATATACCTTGACTGCTCAGTTGATAGAACATTTCTGAGGTCTGCAAAACTGCCACGACTATATAGGAAAATATTTTGAAGGGATCTGGAGACAAAACCTGACCAGTGAGGCAAAAACGGGAAGTCAAAATATTTTGGTACTGCTTTACTGACTTCACAAAACATCATGCTTAATTTAAGATCAACATGGCAGGTATCTTTAAACAGAAGAAAAACATTGTTATTGTTGTCCCTTGCAGTGATACCATGAATGACCAACAGGAAAACGATGTTCAGCAGCATGTGGGATTAAAAAATGAACCTACTAATCCTCTACAAGTCCAAGATTCATCTCACGAGCTAAAACCCATGACAGAAACTGGGAGTGGAAAGGTAAGAAATACAATCCCTTCTAAGAGCAAGAGAGAGTGGAGGTGGGGGTGAGGATGACCGTATGCACCCTCTTGTGTAGTAATTATAATAGTAACTGAGTAAATAAATAATGTTAAATATAATGATGGGGCGGTGCCTTCTATTTTACCATTGTAATGCTAATCAAAAGACCAGACTAATAAAATATCAGGTATTTGCCTCTGGATTCTAAGTTGTTTAAAAGCCAAAGATAAGTCAAGTAAGCACACTGATATAAATGAAATTCACGTGCAATTCACCATACCTAAATATTTTTTTCCATAATGTTAATTTAGATACTTATTGGAGGAAAAGAAATCTATAGGTGACTCTATAAGTAAACTGCATAACTATCAGAAAAAATAAGCTGATCAGCTTGACCTGAATTTTGGTAATATTGATCACTCATTTAAGTTTGAAGACATCAGGCCAAGTAGTTTTCCACTTACTGTGAAATCTCTGAAGGTGCAACAACAGATAATGTACATAAAAATGAAATTCTCTGCAAATCACCTCATCTGACATTTTTTTCAAAATAATAATTATGACACTAATAAGAGAAAAAGAATTTAGTAACCAGATATTTAGCAGTAATAAAACAAAGATGTAAGTTTGGCATAGTCAAACGACATTTTATGGCGACAACCAATATTTTTCCTTGCCTTCTTTCTTGCTGTGAATGGGACTATGAAAGTTTGTGGTACACTGGGATGAAGAGATATAAAATTATGTTAACTACCATGTGTTCTCATCTATAGTAATGTGTCATGAATTATCGAATGGCTCCTAAATTTCGAACAATCTTCAAAACGGTCGTCTAGGCTTACTTGGATCACAGATGGTCTCCTGCTGGCAAATATAGTCACTAAGTCCTTTGAATTAGTATGAAAATTGCCTTTTCCCTGCGCTCAGATCGCTTATGATCTCCCATTGATGACTTTCCAATACCCTGAATGAATACGAAAATTGCTTTCCTGTCTCGCTCGAATCGCTAATAAATATGAAAATTGCCTCTTCAGTTTTGTCAAGATTACCTATCACTCGTGTGTTTGTTTGAAGATAGTTCAAAAGACAAAATGTGCACACTTCAAATGTGTGCATTGGCGCAAGTATGTGCCAGGAAGTCAGTTGCATTGTGGGACAGCTGCTGATGAAGACTGGGTTGACTGAGCAAAAAAATTGGATGTAATACCAAACCACGCAACTGTTGATGATGAGCCCTGCACCCAGGGACCAAAAACCTCTCCTCCCCGACCTAGTATATTTGATCGTAGACAACAAACAGGGTCAGCTTTGTCGCAGCACATGTCGGAGAGAGACCATATAATACACAGTTCGGCTGCTGTGGTGAAACCTGTGCACCGTACATACCAATCTGAGGTCTAGTGGCCTCCCTGCAGGGTGGAGAAACCATTATGCTGAGCTGGGCTTCTGCAGTGAAGGCTAACTATGTGGCATAGACACTGAACTGCACACGGCGAGATGAGGCAGCACTCATACGTAGAGCTCCACCTGACTTCAACGGTGAAGGCAACAAACCTAGGTGCAGTAGACAATAATAGGCAATGAAGGCTACCTGTGGGCCATAGACACCAATCGGCTGCTGTCTCGGCTTCAGTGCATGGAGAGGAGCAACTGTAACACTAAGCACGGCTTCCAGCACGGTGAAGGTTATCTGGTCGGGGTAGACTCTAATCACTGACAGTCTCTTTCCTCCGGTCACTCCAATCCTGAGCGCCAGGATCGTTTTCAAAAAACGACAATACTAAAAACGCTAATGTTTTGCGTCCCAAACCATCACTACCGATCATTATCTATCACATTGGGTCATACACAGTGATTGTGTGAAAGTTTGTGATTCTCTTGGGTTGCAATTAATGACACTCACCTTTTAAACAATATCGTAACTGCTACAGAGATCGTCGGAAAAAGATAACATGAGACCCATCGAGGGACAGACAACTTCCTGTCAAAAATGACAAAATTTCATGAAGTTCCAACATCTGGAATTTCTGGGCACCTCTCATTTTATGAATTTTGACCAAAATGATCTTTTCCTTTTTTAATTAATTTCTTCTGTATGAAATTCATGGCACATTACCCTACCCAGACAGTTGTTCCAATGTTGCTCTACCTGGGCTCATACTTAATATCTGAACTTTAAATTAAATCCTTTACCACTTATTTATTTCAATAGGCAACATCAAGTCCAAGTCTTTCTGACTTAAATATACAAGTAAGGCCACAAGATGAGCAGCAGATTAAAGCACATGCCAGTGAAGAAAAGTAAGTGTCACTTGTTCAGTAATTTAGAATGTCATACCAGAAAGAAAAAAATACATATTTACCTGAACAACCAGGACAAATATTTTCCTAACCATACATTTTAGCTTTCACTGATATTTAAACTCCTCAGTGAAAGTCTTTAAACCATCACCAATATTAAATTATCTGACTTAGCAAATTCCATGACATTTGAATGGTTTGCTTATTATCATCTTTGATTATCTTTCTCCATTTCCAAAGACTTAACGTCAGCAAAACTCTGTTTTGGACATGGTTTTATAATATAGATATCAGGATGGCAGTAATATGATCATATCTATACCATTTGAAAATATTTTTCAAAAGAGATAATTAAAACAAAAATTAAAATTTGGCATACCAGACTAACAGTAATTTTCATATCAATTCTCATTTATAATTCTCATTAATAAAAGCAGCCTCACCTATACATATATATATATAACAAATTGTCATGACACCGTTGTGTATGTCTCAATAACAAATCAAAGAAGCTGCATGAGCAAGGAGGATGCTGTCATAAAAGCAAAAAAAGAGAAAAAGCAGAAAATATATCGAAATTACCCTCAAAATGACGTCCTTTTTTGTGGAATTTCGACCCTACCTCTATTTAGGAACAGTTTGTTTAGGATTTGAATGAATAATTGAAGCAGGAAATACAACTGCTGCAAGAAACAGAATGTGCAAAATGGTTATTTAAATAAAAATTTATTTGAAGTCACTAAAAATGATCACAAAATTAGCGTAACTAACGTTACATGCCGTGTCCCAGCCCAATGAAAATTTCATCTAATCCTATCTTTCCGTATTTAAAACTCTTCAATCGTCCAAAGTAGTCTGTCGGTTTTATATCATTAACAATATTATCTCTTTTATGCTGTAGTACAAATGAAGGTGAAAACAAGCAGCAGCAAAAGCTTTGGGATGACACTGATGAAGATACAGCAAAGGTATGTACATTAACAAATAACAGCATGACCTGTTGCATTTCTCCATGCATTTGTCCATAATAAATATTCATATTCATAAACAGAAATATTTATAATAGCAGAAATAGTTGCAGCAACAGATATATTTTTGTATCAAAGCAATGGAGGGAATCCTATTTGTAAAATGCTAAAAATCTGAAATGCTGTACTGCAGTTTTTTGTTTATTTTAACTCTATCTGTCTGGTAACAAATAAATTCCTGTTTCTCATTAATATTGAACATGCACTGCATTTCAAATCTAAGTGAAAACCGCGTCCTTATTACAATCTGCGTAAAATGGTAAAGCAGCACTACAACCTTTTCAACTTTGTTTGTTATTCTAGCAACATGAACTTGAAACTTCTGTCTTGTCTCCTAATTCAACTACCATCTGCTATGAGACTGTGTGTGGACTAAGTAATGGTGAATATTCAGTCCAACATGTGTACAGCAATCAATATTATGACATGGACACTTCTCCTAATCAGGTTGGTTGGATAAAATAGTTATTAAACTAATTAAAAATGACAATATAAATGCTCATATTACCCAACTCGGGCAAAAAGATCCCCGAAATTGTCAGGGGGTTATATATACAGCCGTCCAAATATCAAATTAAAGCATGTAAGAACTCTTAAATTTTAAGTAACCAAGTGATTTATTTTTTCAGAATGAGGTACATCAATCTAGGACTGTTCAATCAGCTTCCTGCAGCACTGCCCCACTTGATGATGTTAAAAACATGATGGCACAAATTATTCTCATGCTTGAGAAGATAAAGTCACAATGCATAATAGATAGTACTCAAGTAACAGAAGATCAGGTTGCTCCATCAGACATGAAAACTGCAATACCCATTTCACCAGAAATGGGGGAAACACGAGTTCAAAACTGGGGACACAAGAAGCATATTCTGCCTCCACAGCAAGCTATAGATGAGGAAATTTTCCATTCTATAACTAGACCCATAAATTTAAGACAAGTTATGGCTGATAAAAATGTTGCATCCTCAACAGTTCTGACAAATGGGGGTACGTCTTATCCAAAAGATGAAAATGTACCATCTATCAGAGAGCCAAAACAGGAAGATGCAAGCACTTCAACAGTTGGGACTGGCAGTATGTCATATCCAAAAGATGAAGAAAAGCCTTCTACTATACAGCCAATGGAGGAAGACGTCATGTCTTCGATAGACCTGCCAGAAGGAGGTACATTATGTTCAAAAAATGAAAGTGTGCCTTCTACTACAAAGCAAACACATGAAAGCAACTATTTTTCAACAGTTCTGACAGAAGAGGATACATCATGGTCAAAAGATGAAAGTGTGACAACTATCAATAAGCCAACCCAGGAAGATGCTAGTTCTTTCACAGCTCTGTCATATGGAGGTATGCCGCAACCAAAAAAAGAGAGTATGTCTTCTTCTGCAAATCCAACAGAGGAAGATGCCACTTCTTCAACAGTTCTTCCAGAAAGGGATATGTCATATCCAAAAGATGAAGGGGTGCCTTCTACTTCAAAACCACCTCAGGAAGATGCCACCCCTTCAAATGTTCTGCAAGAAGGGAGTAGATTATTCCCCAAAAATGAAATTGTGCCTTCTACTACAACCAAAAAAGAGGAAGATTCAACTTTTTCAACAGTTCTGCAAGAACCTTCTTCAGACATGTCATGTCCAAAAGATGAAGGGGTGCCTTCTACCTCAGAACCACCACAGGAAGATGCCACCTGTTCAAAAGTTCTGCAAGAAGGAAGTAGATCATGCCCAAAAGATGAAATTGTGCCTTCTACTACAACCAAAACAGAGGAGATTTCCACTTTTCCAACAGTTCTGCAAGAACCTTCTTCTGACATGTCATGTCCAAAAGATGAAGGGGTGCCTTCTACTACAAAACCACCACAGGAAGATGCCACCTCTTCAAAAAATCTACAAAGGAGTAGATCATGCCCAAAAGATGAAATTATGCCTTCTACTACAACCAAAATAGAGGAAGATTCTACTTTTTCAGCAGTTCTGCAAGAACCTTCATCTGACATGTCATGTCCAAAAGATGAAGGGGTGCCTTCTACTACAGAACCACCACAGGAAGATGCCACCTCTTCAAAGGTTCTGCAAGAAGGGAGTAGATCATGCTCAAAAGATGAAATTGTGCCTTCTACTACAACCAAAATAAAGGAAGATTCTACTTTTCCAACAATACTGCAAGAACCTTCTTCTGACATGTCATGTCCAAAAGATGAAGGGGTGCCTTCTACTACAAAACCACCACAGGAAGATGCCACCTCTTCAAAAAATCTACAAGGGAGTAGATCATGCCCAAAAGATGAAATTATGCCTTCTACTACAACCAAAATAGAGGAAGATTCCACTTTTTCAGCAGTTCTGCAAGAACCTTCTTCTGACATGTCATGTCCAAAAGATGAAGGGGTGCCTTCTACTCTAAAACCATCACAGGAAAATGCCACCTCTTCAAAGGCTCTGCAAGAAGGGAGTAGAACATGCCCAAAAAATATTGTGCCTTCTTCTATTACCAAAACAGAGGAAGATTCTACTTTTTCAACAGTTCTGCAAGAACCTTCTTCTGACATGTCACGTCCAAAAGATGAAGGGGTGCCTTCTATTACAAAACCACCACAGGAAGATGCCATCTCTTCAAAAGTTCTGCAAGAAGGAAGTAGATCATGCCCAAATGATGAAATTGTGCCTTCTTCTACAACCAAAATAAAGGAAGATTCCACTTTTCCAACAGTACTGCAAGAACCTTCTTCTGACATGTCATGTCCAAAAGATGAAGGGGTGCCTTCTACTACAAAACCACCACAGGAAGATGCCACCTCTTCAAAAGTTCTGCAAGAAGGAAGTAGATCATGCCCAAAAGATGAAATTGTGCCTTCTACTACAACCAAAATAGAGGAAGATTCCACTTTTCCAACAGTTCTGCAAGAACCTTCTTCTGACATGTCATGTCCAAAAGATGAAGGGGTGCCTTCTACTACAAAACCTCCACAGGAAAATGCCACCTCTTCAAAAGTTCTACAAGGGAGTAGATTATGCCCAAAAGATGAAATTGTGCCTTCTACTACAACCAAAATAGAGGAAGATTCCACTTTTCCAACAGTTCTGCAAGAACCTTCTTCTGACATGTCATGTCCAAAAGATGAAGGGGTGCCTTCTACTACAAAACCTCCACAGGAAAATGCCACCTCTTCAAAAGTTCTACAAGGGAGTAGATTATGCCCAAAAGATGAAATTGTGCCTTCTACTACAACCAAAATAGAGGAAGATTCCACTTTTCCAACAGTTCTGCAAGAACCTTCTTCTGACATGTCATGTCCAAAAGATGAAGGGGTGCCTTCTACTACAAAACCTCCACAGGAAAATGCCACCTCTTCAAAAGTTCTACAAGGGAGTAGATTATGCCCAAAAGATGAAATTGTGCCTTCTACTACAACCAAAATAGAGGAAGATTCCACTTTTCCAACAGTTCTGCAAGAACCTTCTTCTGACATGTCATGTCCAAAAGATGAAGGGGTGCCTTCTACTACAAAACCTCCACAGGAAAATGCCACCTCTTCAAAAGTTCTACAAGGGAGTAGATTATGCCCAAAAGATGAAATTGTGCCTTCTACTACAACCAAAATAGAGGAAGATTCCACTTTTCCAACAGTTCTGCAAGAACCTTCTTCTGACATGTCATGTCCAAAAGATGAAGGGGTGCCTTCTACTACAAAACCTCCACAGGAAAATGCCACCTCTTCAAAAGTTCTACAAGGGAGTAGATTATGCCCAAAAGATGAAATTGTGCCTTCTACTACAACCAAAATAGAGGAAGATTCCACTTTTCCAACAGTTCTGCAAGAACCTTCTTCTGACATGTCATGTCCAAAAGATGAAGGGGTGCCTTCTACTACAAAACCTCCACAGGAAAATGCCACCTCTTCAAAAGTTCTACAAGGGAGTAGATTATGCCCAAAAGATGAAATTGTGCCTTCTACTACAACCAAAATAGAGGAAGATTCCACTTTTCCAACAGTTCTGCAAGAACCTTCTTCTGACATGTCATGTCCAAAAGATGAAGGGGTGCCTTCTACTACAAAACCTCCACAGGAAAATGCCACCTCTTCAAAAGTTCTACAAGGGAGTAGATTATGCCCAAAAGATGAAATTGTGCCTTCTACTACAACCAAAATAGAGGAAGATTCCACTTTTCCAACAGTTCTGCAAGAACCTTCTTCTGACATGTCATGTCCAAAAGATGAAGGGGTGCCTTCTACTACAAAACCTCCACAGGAAAATGCCACCTCTTCAAAAGTTCTACAAGGGAGTAGATCATGCACAAAAGATGAAATTGTGCCATCTACTACAACCAAAATAGAGGGAGATTCTACTTTTTCAGCAATTCTGCAAGAACCTTCTTCTGACATGTCATGTCCAAAAGATGAAGGGGTGCCTTCTACTACAGAACCACCACAGGAAGATGCCACCTCTTCAAAAGTTCTGCAAGAAGGAAGTAGACCATGCCCAAAAGATGAAATTGTGCCATCTACTACAACCAAAATAGAGGGAGATTCTACTTTTTCAGCAGTTCTGCAAGAACCTTCTTCTTACATATCATGTCCAAAAGATGAAGGGGTGCCTTCTACTACAAAACCAGCACAGGAAAATGCCACCTCTTCAAAAGTACTACAAGGGAGTAGATCATGCCCAAAAGATGAAATTGTGCCTTCTACTACAACCAAAATAGCAGTTCTGAAAGAACCTTCTTCTGACATGTCATTTCCAAAGGATGAGAAAATGCCAAATAAAAAGAAAATACAGAAAGGCAGTGCTTTTTCACCATCTCTGCCAGAAAGGGGTGCACCATGTTCAAAAGATGAAAGTGTCCCTTCTACTACAAAGCAAATACAGAAAGATGCCCCTTTTCAACAGTTCTCCCAGAAGGGGGTCGATCATGTCCAAAAGATAAAATTGTGCCCTCTACTTCAACGCAAATACAGGAAGATGCCACTTCTTCAACAGTTCTGCCAGAAAGGGGCACACAGGAAATACAGGAAGGCAGTGCTATTTCACCAGTTCTGGCATCATCATGTTCAAAAGATAAAGGAATGTGTACAACAAGGCCAACACAGGGAGGTGCCAGTTCTTCAATAATTTTGACAAAAGGGGAAAGATCAGGTCCAAAAGCTGAAAGTGTGACTTCAACCAGAACGGCAACACAGGATGATGCCAATTATACATTTCTGACAGAAAGGGATATATCATGTTCAAAAGATGAAAGTGTGACTTATACTACAAAGCCAATACAAGAAGACCTCATTTCAGAAGAGGGTGGATCATGTTCAAAAGATGAAATGTCTTCTTTAATGCAAATACAGGAAGGTGCCACTTATTCAAAAATTCTGCCAGGAGGGGCCAAGCTATGTCCAAAAGATGAAACAATGACTTCTAATACCAAACTAACATTGGAAAATGCCAGTTCTTTAAGAGTTCTGCCAGAAGGGGCCAAGCCATGTCCAAAAGATGAAAGTGTGCCTTCTACTACAAAACCAACACAGGAATATGCTACATTAACGGTTCTGCCTGAAAGGGGTATGCCATGTCCAACAGATGAAAGTGAGTTTTCTACTACTAATTTTAAAGGTCGGACAACAAAGAAGGACTCGTCACCAGTTCATATTTCAGATAATAAAACTCAATTTCCACGCTCACGACGGACAGGTTACACCAAGCAAAAATACAAAGGCTACAAAAAAATTCTGAAGAACACAATTGTTATTATCATTTTTGTTTTTTTAACTGGGGGCGTAAATGCCCCACGTGTACCAAATGCAAACCATGTTTACAATCCAATGAATATTGGTAATAGGCATCCTGTACAAGTTGAAGATAATGATGAACAACCACCAGCACCACCCCCAGTGCAAGTTGAGGATAGTGGTGAGTATATCCATCATCAGAATACACAGCACATTCAAGAACCGGTAGATACCAACTATTACCAACTTATTCATCCTGTTGACCCACCACCCCCAGTACAAGTTGAGGATAGTGGCGAGGATATCCATCATCAGAATATTCAGCACATTCAAGAACCGGTAGATATCAACTATTACCAACTTATTCATCCTGTTGACCCACCACCCCCAGTACAAGTTGAGGATAGTGGCGAGGATATCCATCATCAGAATATTCAGCACATTCAAGAACCGTTACATATCAACCATTACCAATCTATTCATCCTAATGACCCACCACCCCCAGTACAAGTTGAGGATAGTGGCGAGGATATCCATCATCAGAATATTCAGCACATTCAAGAACCGGTACATATCAACCATTACCAATCTATTCATCCTAATGACCCACCACACCCAGTACCAAGTTGTGAAAATGGGAACTAAGATATCTATCACTAGGCAGTAATGTGTACACAGAATACTTGGCAGAAAGAGCATGCTGAGTAAGTTAGGCCATAATCTGAAATGCTTAGGATTTTCCATAAAATGATAGTGCATTTCATGTCCACTGGAGGAGTGAGTTGATAAATATAAACACCTGTTGCCGGTGTAACATGAAAATGTGACTCCCCCCCATGAAATTTTGACCCTCAAAAAACTTTATAAATCTTATTTTATTTGAGTATATGACTTTTATATTGTGGTATGCATGATGGATAATACGTTTGCCCTTTTTGTTAGTTTGCAGGTGAACATTTTAATGAGAATATAAGAAAATTAAAATTGTGTATTTTATCGCAAAATGACTCCCCTATGAAAAGCTTTTTATTTGATATTTACATGGTGATCATTTCAACATTTGTCCCTTTAGTATACTCTATGAAGAATATATTGGAAATATTTGAAAGTTTGGTGGTAAAATATTGGGTGCAAAAAATGAAAAAAAAATAATCATGAAAAATCTTTATATTTATACCCATGGGATTTTGGACTCTCATTAAGAAAAGGCACTATTTTATATTAAGTCACCATACCATTGTTTTTCACATGGTTTGCATTGTGATGTATATTTTTTTAGTATTTAAAAGTTTGGTGGTGAAAATTTTGGTGAAACTTGATAATTTTTTAAACAAGTATTCATCTTACTAACTGTAGGGTTTGGACTCCCATAGCCTTCTCATAGGAGTCATTGGGTGAAAAAAATATTTTAATTTTCTTATTTCCTCATGAAAATTTTCAAAAAGTGCCAATGTATCCTCCATTATGCATACTTCAAGTTAAAAGTTATATATTCAAATAAAATAAAATTTATAAAGGTTTGTGAGGGGGAGTCAAAATTTCATGGGGGGAGTCAGATTTTCATTATGAAATTTTGACTAGGGGAGTCAGATTTTCATGTTACACCGGCACAGCAGCAAATATACATTCATGGTATTATATTTTATATTGATCATAATTAGTTTCTTATGTTTATCACCAGATTGTGTTAGAAGAGACTGCTGACACTACTTAGTTAACAATGCTCAGTTATTCAAGGCTCAGTGCTATGAATATAGGTTTAACGCGTGATCTGTGAGGTTATGTTTTTTCTTTGGCAGAGAATGAAGCTATGGAATTTCATTTACACTAAAATGTGAGCCTTTGTTTGAGTTTAATTTTGCTGCATAATGGCATTAATGCAATGTCTTTATTTTGAACTATATTTGTGTAATTAATTTTGAGTGTAGCTTACGTGTTCGAGAAATTATTCTGAAGTTATGTAAGCCTATGGGGGGATGTTAAATGTATTGCTTTGCCTTATAAATGTTACATATAGGTAAGCCATTAATAATTTTTTTCAAATATTGATATCACCAATATGGTAAAAATTTTGTCAGAAGGTGATTTTCCGCTGACATAATTTTTTTCACTTTGAAAACTTCAACTTGAAAATGAGTCTCTCGATAATTTTTGAAAAGTTTGTCAACTAATATGGCCGCGTTGTCCAGCTCAAACATGAAAGTAATGCGTCAGTTGATTCTAGACCATTCAAGTTGATTCAAGATGACCAGGAACTCAAATATGACAATTATAGGTCCGAAATTAACATCATTGGAAGTCACAAGTTATGGAGGAAGAGTCCGATAAAGAGGATCCAGTAGGAACCTGAATCGGAAATCAACACTAATCTAATCTAATCTAAAGACAATAATACAATCAGGATAACACTCTCAATATGAGATAGGAACAATAGTGCACCCCTGCAAGCAGCTACTGTCAATATAGATGGTTTAGATGTGCATTGCCATTCTCAATTGTGGGAACGAGGGTCTTTTGTCTTTAGTTTCATTACTATTACCTGGCTCAAGGTGCATTTTCAAGCCAGTATTTAGAAGTCACTGGCTGCTGCTCCCCGTCAGTTGTGACGCTATCATTGTTAATGATGGCTGTCCTAAATGAGGAAGGCACAATGAAAAAATCAAGATATAATTTCAAAGGGAAATGTACCCATCACTTCTATTCATGTCCATTGTGCAATTTAAGACCATATAACGAATACCTAGCTTGTAAACATGGAGATTGTTCGCTATCCAAATGGGACAAGAAGGCAATTTTTATATCTTCAGCAGAAAATTGTTCACATAATATTGTCAGCAGATCATTTGTGATTCGATTGAGACAAGAAGGCAATTTTCATATCTTCAGTGAGAGATCGAATAAAAGAAGAATAAAATGCAATTTTCATATTAGTTCAACGGACTTAAGAACTTTGTTTCTGGTAGATGGTCAGCGGGAAATGGTTCGCGATCGGAGCAAAACAAAAAGGCAATTTTCATATTTTCATCGGGAGGTAGTTCGTAATGTAAGCAAGAATAAAATGCAATTTCCATATTAGTTCAATGGACTTAGGAACTTCGTTCGCGGAGGATCTTCAGCAGGAGATCATTATTTTAACCCACCCCTCCCTTTGGATTTTTTAAATATGTATATTGTCATTTTATCTTTCACCCCCCCCCTCCCCCACCCCCCCCCTTGACTCCTTGTAATTTTTTAGGAAGTTACAGATGGTAATTTTAAAAGGCCTGACACCCAATCCTGGGAAAAGCCCTGCATGCAACAAACGTTGCTAATTGCGTAATTTGTTAAATATGCCATGTCCAGTTTGTACTGCAAGGTTGCAATTAGGCTTATCTTGATCCTTTTCCTCTATCAGGAAGTATGTTTTCTTACTGAAAAGACAATTCTCAACTTACTTTACGGGTAAGTTCATATAACTTTATCAATTTCGTCATACCCAGGAATTGGGGAGACGTAATTTTGAAAAATTCGTAAGATTTATGCAATTAAAAATATTAATTAATTTTTAAGTGACGAAATTATCAAAGTTTTTATTGTATGTAATATATATCTCTCTCATTGTCACAAGTAAGCATTTTCACATTAGGTGCAAACAAAACAAATTGATCCATGGACTAACTGCATAAGCATGAATTAATGAATAAGCCTGATCAATGTGGAGCCAAGATTAAATTGCTGTGCCTCTGCAGGGACAGTGTACATGGGAGGCAGGGAGTCCATAAGGGGATTATGCAGCATTGCTTTCAAGAGAGTCGACCATATTTCAACTGCAGTTAGTTAGTCCTCAAACCAACTTGTTTTGAATATGCCCATAATTAAATTAATTACAATATCAGCCAAGTTTATTGCCTCTGGGTTGCCAATGCAGCAGGTTTCACGAATGGAATATGCCTTTAATGAGTATTTTGTATTTGAATAATTACTGTGTTCAGATATAAAGATAAACTGTTGCCATTAGGGCAAGACATTTATTGTTAGTTTTCTTTTTGTATATTGCAAGTGATGTTATTCTTGTACCTATACATGGTTAGTTGTCTTAGTTCATGTGATTGGTGTGTATGAAGCAAGCTTAGCTTGGCATTGGTCAATGTTTTTTTTATAGGAATACTCTTCATGATAATTTCCAATATACATTGTATGTTGCAAGTAGCGTATATCCATCACAGATGCCAGTGACAGTCGGCAGTACGCTTCAATTAGTTATATAGTTTCATTACCATGCATAAGAGAATTTGTAAGTTTGAGATATTACACTTGATTGGTTTATAATAAGATAATTGTATGTTAAATCAAGTTTATGAGTTATTTACACATATATATTTTGTAATTGTGTTTATTCATCTTTTTTTGGGATGGTGTATTTATTACTGTATTTACCTGCTTTTAGACTACCTACGTTCCATTACATTGCATCATCATACATATATGTGTGTAACTAAACCCTTTTCAACCTCAGCAGCTAGGCCTTACACAAATTGTTGGTTTGAGACTCAAATATACTGAGGGAGTATAATTAATTAGGAAGTGAAATTCAGAGAAGGACAAACACTTAAAATATTAAGTATTTGCACTTGTTCTCTGTATTATGTCAAATAATACATTTACCTGTGACAACATAAAGGTACACAGTTACCTGAGACAACACACTGTTACACACTTACCTGAACTGAAGGTCTGTTTGTCTCTGCTGCTGGTTCTGGGGTCATTGGGTTTTAGCCTACACACATGATGAATGGCCATTTTCTGGTAGTCAATCTCAAAGATGTGACCTGATCTACTACAGGCGTAACTTTAAACAATGAAATAAATAAATGTGAAATAAATAAATGTGAATTATGACCTAAGTCTATGAATATTTTTTTAAAGTCTTACACAATTATTTTTTAACATTACCTCTGGCAATAAGAATGAATCAAAATCATAGTCATATAATCATCATCGTATAACAGATTTAGTTCAGAAAAAGATTTATAAATTTACCTTTTATCACTGTTTAGTTTAAAAAAACGCACCAACAAATAAATAGATATAAAAAAAAAGAAAGAATCAGTGACCAAAAAAGCACATACAACTCTATGTTCAAAAAATCTATAATCATATCAAGAAAATACTTAATACAGTTAACCACCTGCACATGAGCTACATAATTCATGTGCAAATAATTTTTAGTATTCTATTCACCATACCAAATTCATTTTCATTTTATATTATGAAAGCAGATCACTTAATGGACCTTGCACCACACTCACACTAATCTGTCCACCGGGTCCTTCTGTGGCTCAAATCCTGCCTCAAAAGTCACGTCTGTGAACTCCATAGTGTGGTACTCAGCGAGGTTGACTGGAGCAGATCGCAGAGCGCCATCTTTTACGCGCCATAGGCGAACATTGTCTCGACCACAGGAAACCATCCTGAAACCATCATGGTAACTACACCGTTGTCATTTAAGTGGAAAATAGGAAATCAACCATAAAATTTCAACTTGTCTACATAAATTTGCTCCCTGACCAGGACGTTTTTGGTCAAATTCTTTAGTTGAATTTGTTTTAGGAAATGGAAATATCTGTGCACATTCTCAATGCTTTTTTTCTTTTTTTTTTTAATGTTGATTGTGGATTAGAATAAGTACCAATTACCTGAATGAAAAATTAAGATCAACTTTAAGTTTGATTTTTTTTT